CTTTAGTGTAGAATTTTAAATCTGAAATAAAACTCACACGTAATTTAGTCTAACTTTCTTATTTCACTGATGATAAAACTTGGATTCAAAAAAATCACATTAGTTATATTATTAAATATGTATTTTTTTAATGATATCATAACTTTTGAGAGAAAAGAAATGGCGTAGGACTGAGTCTCATGCCCTTTGCTGATTCAGCACATGAGACACCACTAGAGAGAATCTGTCAGTTTGATTCCTTTTAGCTTATTGTGGTTTAGAAAGACAACTTGTACTTTATTTTGTCATATTTAGTTTCTCTGCATGGGAAGGGCTAAGAAACTGTACATATCTCTGCTTGACTCTGTTGGTTCTTGTTCAGAAGTTAGAATGCTGTGAAATATTGTGTGCTTGCTATTTGATTTAGACACCTCTCTCTGTCCAGGGAAAGTAAATGGTTACAGGGGCTAGTGGAAGGGATAGGAGTTTTACATTTCTGTTTGCAATTTATGTTTATTCTTTGCAGAAGGCAAACTTGTAAAGTCTAAATATTTTCTCTACTAGCTTTAATGTATTAATGCAATCAATGTGTAGAAGGGAGGGCTGTCTGAAAGTACCCAGCCATGGTTAATACTATTTTTCATATTACATGGCCGGATACTTTCCAGACAGCCCTCATATTTAGCATCTAGTTCATCTAACAGTTGGATACCATACAGCGGTAAATAAGAAAGCTAGGATCTATGCCCTTATAGGGCTTATAGCCTCATAGGGGGAGGATTCATTAGATAATCAGGCAATTATTATACAGTGAATTAAGCGTCATTGTAGGGGAATGGTGATCAGAAACACTCTGCCTGGACTTGGGAGTATCTGAGGAGAATGAATAGAAGAAATAACATTTCAACTGGTGAAAACTGGGAGAAGATTGTGGCATTCAAAGTATGGTCCCTGGACCAGAAGTATCCACGTTACTTGGGGGTCAAATTTAGATGTGCTGTATCAGACATTCGTGGGGCATGGCCAGCAATCTGTGCTTTACAAACCCTCCAGGTGATCCTGATGCTGAGAACCAGAGGTGAGAGAGAGCGCAACATATTTAAATAGAGCTGCAGCAGAGACTTTGAAGTCATTAAGAGCTTGAGTTAAGGCTGGAGAGGCAGGTAAGGCCTGATAAGATGGTTGAAGAGTTTAGGTTTTTATCTTAAGTGCGCTTGTAAGCCACTGAAGCATTTTCAGTAGGAGAACAGCTTGATCGACTTTGTTTTTAGAAGGATCATGAGAGAAGAGATGGGAATTGAGCAGAAAGAACACCTAGGAAGCTGTAGTAATAACAGTGACAGCCATACCTGTGGGATAAAGTAGACAGGTAAGGGAGATACTCACAAAGGATAATTTCTAGGATTTTCTTTTTGATTTAAATGATGAGGATGAGGGAGAAGGAGGAATTCTCAGGTTTAGCACTTAGGCCACTGGATAGATACTGACTATCTATCTGGTCTCTGCAGTAGTAAATATAGGAGGAGCAGGCTGGGGAGCATGAAGAAGATGAGTTTGAGTTTGGTTTTGAACACTGGAACTGAAGAACTCTTACAGAGATACCAGTAGGCAATTCAGTATTTGCCTAGAGCTCATGAATATATAGATATGCAAATATTTGGGATGTACAAGGTAATTGAAGTCTTAGGAAGTCTTAGGGGATCAACTACATATTGAAAGTGTATTGAATGAATGGGAACAATATTAGAATATTGTAGAAAGAATATTGTAGAAACATCCATATTGGGCATTAGAAGGGGAACCTTCAAAAAGGACTGAGAAGGACCAGCCAGAGAGAACTATCAAAACCCATGGAAGTATGGTATCATGGAAACCTAGGGAAAAACATGCAGAATGAGTCCCTTGGTCATGTGTCTGATGCTTACGTCAAAGGGGTGGACTGGAAAGTTTCTACTTGGGTAGCCATACAAAGAGTAGAGAGGCTTTGGGAAGTTACATGGATCTCAAGGACAAGGATCTCAAGTTACAAGGATCTCCTTGACTAGGACCCCGCCCCCATCTTTCCCGTGGCTCTTCTCTACTCTCTCTCTCCTCTTCCCCACTCTCTCCTTATCTCCCTCCCCTCTTTTCTCTCCTCCTCGGTGCTGCTCTGCAGCCTCCCTCCCCCCCACCAATAAAAACCTTTTGTACAAGCAAAAAAAAAAAAAAAGAATTTGACTAGAGCAGACTTAATGGATGGGCAGGGATAGAAGCCATTATGAGAAATTAATGGGAGACAGACATTGTAGATGACTTGGCTACGAAGGAGAATAAGAAAGCTGAAAGGAGATTATGAGATTGTAGGGAGTTGTTTTTTTTTTTTTTTTTAAAGATAGCAGAAACTTATCTTGAATGTTGATGGTAAAGAGTGATGGTGGTGGGGAGGAGGGAGAGAGGGATGATGAAGGGGAGAAAACTGAAGATGGAGGAAAAAGGATGCAATTGATAGAGCAAAGTTATTGAAATAGTAGGAAAGGGTGGAATTCACAGCACTTCGGGAAAAGGGACACTCCTTCTGCTGTAACAGAAGGGAAAGGAAAGATGGATTATTGAACAGGTGATTTTGTCTTGGTGGGAGAAAAATGAGGGCCTTCCAATTTGATGACTTTCTATTTTCCTCTACTTGGCTACTGCTATTGGAGAAAGAGAAGATGGGCTTCTGCCGTTGTGTCTGTAGAGAGACACTGAGTAGAACATATAGAATAGTAATTAGGGGGAAACCCAGATTATTGTGCTGTTGTCGTCCCAGTTGAGGAGAGATATCATGAATTTATACTGAGATCAATCTGCAGATGTGGCTTTCCCAGAAGCCTTAATGTACGTGTAGAAATGACAACAAATTTGATTCATCTAAGCAATGTTTAAGACTGATATTATTTCCAAACTACAGTGGGATGAGGAGGTAAAAAGATAAAGGCCTCTGTTCCCTCATCTAAAAGTTCCAAAATTCAAGAAACTCTGAAAACTGAAGTTTTTTTTTTTAAATACCTCATTTGGTGGCAAAACTTCTCTGAATGAATCATTATGAGGTAATTTATAGCCTTCACTTACCAAATTTAATATGTTTATCTGTGATTGTGGAATGCTGTCTCTAACTCTGGCAGGGATGTTATAAATGTCATGTATGGAATATGCACTGTAAAATCAAAAAATTCTGCAGGACACCTAACCCCAGTGTCCAGAAGAGATTGTGTTCCTCCTGTGTTAGTAATAAGGAGATTCAAACAATACATTATGAAATCTAAGCTGGATAAGAAAAAAGGGAAAGTTGGAGAGAGTAATCCGCTAGGAAGAAGTAGAAGAGTTAAGGAAATAGATAACTGCAAATAAGTGAGAAAATTTGAAGAATGGGAAGTCGTGATGGTTGGAATGTCTTAGTTATTTCCAAAGGAAAAGAGTTCTGTGTGGATACAAAGTTCAGGTGTGTGACTATGGAATGGGCAGCCAAGTGGTAATGGAATAGAAGGTCATTAGAGATGAGGTCAAGAGAAGGAGCGACAAGAAAATTAGATGAATTTCCCAGAGTAATGGCAAGATTTGGGATGGAATGGAATACTATAAGCCAAGTTCTCTGATCTTCCATTAATGGGGCACTGTGTAAGGTACAAAAGATACCAAGATGTTTGAGACAAGTTCTTCATGCTTCCCCAGGACTCTCATCTCTCTAAGAAACAGATAAGTAAAAAGATCAATAATTATACAGCATTTTAAGTGTGATGTTCAAAGTATGACCTAAAAGCCTTTAAAATCTAGATGAAGAAAGAGACTTTCGATGTCAGAATAAGTCAGGAGACTAGTAAATTCATGTGTTTCACATTGTTTTTGGGATTTTCACAGTTTGATAAACACCTATGTACAACTTGTGGATATTTGGCAGAACATTTGATCAAAAATAGTGGTGAAAACTGTCAGATTTGCTAAGTCATTTATTAGAAACAAAGCATGATAAAAAGAAGAAACAGGCAAAGTATAAATTCCCTGTAAGAAGCATTTTTAAAAGTCTCAGATAAACTTCAGGCTCTAGTCTGTGTGATGTATAATTTTCTAGTCTCTTCTTTGTTACTTTTAATTTTGTAATTTCGGTTTTTCTATTGACTATCTCTATTATTCTATTATAAACTCCCTCAATCCTTTTCGGATTTAAGTGAGAATGTAAGTGGTAAGTGAAAACATTCTAGTCAATGATGTTAAAAAATAAACAAACATGCCAAAAAATTATCACCTCACCTTTTAAAAGATATACTTTATGTGATCTAACTATGTTTTACTTCTTGTAAGCCAGTGTCAAAGTGTCAGCTCCTCCAAAAAAGAAGAAAAGTTCTCAAACGTCACAGATTGGTTGACAAATGCTATTCTGGGGACGAGGAGTTGTGGGAGCAGGCCATGCTGACCACAGGAATGTTGAACAGCAGATGTTGGCTTTGGGCAAAGAACTTTTGATGCCTAGTGACTTCTTTGAAATGTTAGGACCGATGGTCCTTGTGGGAATCTCCATCACAAAATGTTTGTCCCACATGGAGTGTACTATGTGAGAACAGAAATGCAGAATAATAGGGCAAAGATACCCTATCGGGAAACCAACTGTGTTTACAGATTCCCCAAATAACAGGTCAAAATAGATTTTACTATGGTAAATATTCCAATTGCAATGTTCTGCACAATTTCTGTCTCATGTATTTTAAGCAAGATTTCTGGGCTATGTGGCTTTTCTAGTAGACTTCAATGACATGTAACCACTCAACAAAGACCTTGTCATTTATTTAACTCCAACTGTCTTTAATCTTGAGGACGGTAATACTGTGAGAAACTGTGGGGTTTCAACATAACATAGAATGTTATGTTGGATCAACATAACAAAGAATTTTCAAATTCTTTGCCTCCCCCCACATATGCTATAGAAGTCGTGTGTTATCTATATGTCTTTAAATTTGGGTCTGTGGTTTCTTCTTTCGTTCCATCATCTTTTCTCCTTTCTCTTTTAGTTCACAGCTGTGAATGAACCACAGTGCTTCTACAATGAATCCATTGCCTTCTTTTATAACCGGAGTGGGAAACATCTTGCCACAGAATGGAACACAGTCAGCAAGCTGGTGATGGGACTTGGAATCACTGTCTGCATCTTCATCATGTTGGCCAACCTCCTGGTCATGGTGGCAATCTACGTCAACCGCCGCTTCCATTTTCCTATTTATTACTTAATGGCCAATCTGGCCGCCGCAGACTTCTTTGCTGGGTTGGCCTACTTCTATCTAATGTTCAACACAGGACCCAACACGCGGAGACTGACTGTTAGCACGTGGCTCCTCCGTCAGGGCCTCATTGACACAAGCCTGACAGCATCTGTGGCCAACTTACTGGCCATTGCAATCGAGAGGCACATTACGGTTTTCCGCATGCAGCTCCATACACGGATGAGCAACAGGAGGGTGGTGGTGGTCATTGTGGTCATTTGGACTATGGCCATTGTTATGGGTGCTATACCCAGTGTGGGCTGGAACTGCATCTGTGATATTGAACATTGTTCCAACATGGCGCCCCTCTACAGTGACTCTTACTTAGTCTTCTGGGCCATTTTCAACCTGGTGACCTTTGTGGTCATGGTGGTTCTCTATGCTCACATCTTTGGCTATGTTCGCCAGAGGACTATGAGAATGTCTCGGCATAGTTCTGGACCCCGACGGAATCGAGATACCATGATGAGTCTTCTGAAGACAGTGGTCATTGTGCTTGGTGAGTTTGTCTTGACTATAACTTACTTTATGGATTCCCAGTGTCTTCTCAGTATCACATTAATTTATGATAGTGGTAAAAAACACTAAGGAAATAATGCATTGACATATTTAATCAGCTTACCAGTCTTTCTACAATTATAGAATCAGCTTTATGGATTTATGGGTTTCAGTGGTATAGTATAAATGGTGGCGATATAAAAGATATCATTGAAGAGTTTGGCTGTCTAATGTTGAAAATACCAGAATAACCAATCAAATTTATTTAGCTTTTGAGAGATTTTCTTATAGTCCAAGTCATTTTTACCTTGTGGTCTCTATGTTACAGATTTTCTGACAGAAAATGCTTTCATATGAATATGGACTATCCTTTCATAGGTAGTAATTTTTTTTAGTCTATTAGTACGTTATCTTTCATATTCTGCAATTGTTACTGCATGTATATAAGTATATTCAGGTTTTGTATAGATTTACTGCACAAAACACATCAGAATTAACGATGTTCTCTCAGTCTTTGTGAAAATTTGCTTTTAAAAAAATTTTCTGTTTGTAGTAATGGAAGTTAATTTGGATTTCAAGATGAAGAGCAAGATTTCATTCTTTTTATAGATGCAAATAACCTTTTTCTTTAAAGAAGTATTATTTTTCCTGAATGAAACATTTGTCATAGTGATCAGGAAGACTGTATTTATTCATTTAGATACTCAGAAAATAGTTAACGAGCACCTCATAAGTTTTAGGCTCTCCTGGCCCCTGGGGATATATACACAGAAAGAACAAACATAAAACATTTCTTTTGGAGTTTAAAGTGTCTATTTAAAAAGTTTACTCAGTGAGAATAAGTTTAAATACTTACCCAATTGAATTACATATTTTCCAAAGCCTATAGTCAGGCCAATGTTTGATCACATTTAAAAACCAAAAAAAAAAAAAAAAAAAAAAATTCTCTTATTATCTCATCTTTTTCTAGGGAAATCCAATGGAAAGTTCCTACTATTCTGTTTGCTCCAGTTTGCAAAGCAGCGTTGAGTGAATGTAGCGGGTGGTTGTGTGGCTCCCCTTAAACTCTGGGAGTTACATTAATTTTGGTGATGGAAAGGAGAGAGAGCCCCAGTTATCCTTAAATAGCATTCTGGTCGGTGCCTCAGTCCTGTCTGTGTTGGTTTGGGTGACTGCGTCCTGGACATCATTTCTGGCTATCCTGATTGTGACCCTCTTGTAGAAAGGTAAAAATGAGAACTAGGCCTTGGAATTGCTGACCTAGCTGAAGCCCTGCCTAGCTAACTGGGACACTTAGATGATAGCTATACTAGAGACCTTCCCTTGTATGTGAGATTGTCTTGTCCCAGCCAAGGAGGTTTAGTGGACAGACAGAAATGGTTTCCTTATATGTTTAATTATCAGCAAGACCGTGAGCATGCCTGTGCCACAAGGACATGCCTTTTTGGCACCGGGAACTGGTTTAATGGAAGAGAATTCTTCTATGGAGGGATGTAGTTGGCTATAAATACAGATATAGCTTTGGTGGCTTGTTCGCTGCTTACTACCTGCTGTGCAGCTGGTTCATAACAGGTCGCCACACTAGTCCATGGCGCAGGGGTTGGGGACACCAGATAGAGATGAAATGCATCTTAGTTTACTATGGATGCCATTTTTGTATGAAATTAAATAACATGAGACACTTCTCTGTTGACTCAGATGTTTATTTACTGATGACCTAAAAATGTCACCTCGACACTTTTCATATTGTGTGTACTTTTTCTGTGACAAGTGCTGCTTCTGGTTCATAGAACCGCAAGCAGTACTGAACTTGCACTATTAACCTGCTGAGTTCTTGTTTTTATTTCGACACTTGTATAACATCTAGCATATTCCGGTACGCAGTGTACTGAATGATTCATGCAAAGTTAACTTTTGTATCTCTTTCGGTTATTTTACACATTGAGATAATTATTGAGGGTTTATAAAGATACACTTTCCAAGTATATCTGCCTGAAATGACTCTTACCCCTTCCCAACCAAAACACACCTCTAAACTTGAAAATGACAGAAATAGCATTGTCTTCTGAGATTTAAACTAATAGACTCCTTAAAGATGAAATGTTGTTAACTACCTCTGGAATAAATAACATTATTTCAGTAGCTCTGGGAGGGAAGAAATTTTAGAATATAGCAAACGCCAATCAAGGTAATATGTAAAGAAATTTGGTGAGGCAAGATGGGACTGTGACGGTAATATAGAAAGGAGAAATTAAATGACTATCTTTTTTTTTTTTTTTTTGCAATTTTTGGCCGGGACTGGGTGTGAACCTGCCACCTCCAGTATACGGGGCCAGTGCCCTACTCCTTTGAGCCACAGGTGCTGCCCTTGATTAGAACTTTTTTTGAGAAAGGTAGCAGGAATCATAGAATGGGCAGAATGTGGGTGCTGGAGTGTTTGGATGTGGGACCTGGAATGAGGAATTTACCATCCAGAAAGATGTTTGTCAAGGTTGATGTCTAATGCTGTTCCTACAATGTGCTCCTGTGCTTGAATCGTAAGTGTCCAGTCCTACGTAGGTGTGATTTATGGAAAGGGTGGGTTGGTCTTAAAGGAATAAGAATTTTGGTCTTGTCGTTGTAAGTTAGTCTACTAACAATCTGGGGTTTTTGTCTGTTTGTTTGTTTGTTTTTACAGATTGCACACTTGGTTTTTAATGTCTTCTTTGTCAGATTGTCAGATTTGCTAGGGAAGGTTGGGATTGTAATAATGTATTATCATATCTTCACATTGCCTGTTATGGTTATCTGGCACAGAGAAGGTGTTCAACAAATAATTGTTGGAGGAATCTATGTAATGACAAAACCAAGTGTGTGAGCCTTCAAAAGTGAAGAGCAGAGAGAGCCCTTCACTACAGTACACGCCACTTGAGCCATGTGGCAGCCAAACCTGGTTACTTTAGGCGACTCCTATTTTTAAACATTCCAGGCCTTCTAATCCAAACACAAGGGCTTGGAAAATGTCTACAATGGCTGCTCAGTAAATAATGTGTCTGTTTTACTTTCATTTATTCTAGGGGTGGTTTCTTAGTTTCCGTTCTCACTTCATCAGAATGACCCCTGGGTTTTAGACCTGTTCATTCTTCATGATCAAGGGAAGAATTTGTTGGTCAACATCTTAAATCCTAGGAGTCAACCTAAAACTGAAAGCTTCTTTGAGATTTATGATGACAATACCAGGGGCAGGTTTTTAAGCATGACCTTATATATAAGCTGCCTTTGAGTGAGTACTGGATTTTAATAATTATTTGTCAAATGCTCATGGAGCATTCCCCATGTGCTCCCTTAGAAATTAGTATTTGTAAATAACAACCTGTGGAGTATAAATGCCTTTATGGATTTGTTATCCTCAAATCAGTGTGAAGAAAGACAGCGATTAGGTAACTTGCCCAAGCCCACACAGCTAGTGAGTATAGAAGCTGGGGTTCAAACTCAGGCACTGGGGTTCCAAAACCCATGGGTTTTTCACCTCCATGCTTTCCTACTTCTCTTTTCTAAAAAACATCATGTGCTTTTTGTTAAGTTTGAACAGCAGTGTGTTCTTACCCAGAAACATTGTGATCGTGTTTGTTTCTGTTGCTACTGTCTAGGGTGCCTGGGCTTTTCCCCCACAGGCCGGGGAGCTTTAAGGGAGCTCCTTTCTTCCTCTCGCTACTGAAGAGCTCATGACTAATTTCATCTGCCCTTCTCTGCTCTTTGGTGTTGCAGCACCTATTCTGATTCAGAAGCATTTTGTTTAAGGTAGAGTTAGCGTCAGGGTTTCTCGTGGCACTGTACAGTCACGCAGTCCTTCCCTGGGCTTGAATTCTCCCTACTTGACATTTCACCAGGAATTCCTTTAGCAACTGTTCCAAGGCTGCACAGAGCAGCAGTCAACACGTTCTTCCTTATTTGACCGTTCAGTGTCTTGAGTTGACGCCCTTTCCTTTCCGGCTCTATTGGTGATGACATTTCTGTTGGAGATTGTTAGAAAAATGAAAAACCAGAATTTGGAAAGAGAAAATCATGGTTAAGGTGTGGCAGTTTTGCATCTGAGCCCTGGGAGGGACATCCATAGCCCATTGGGGGTTATCTCTTTGGGGAGGAAGAGGAAGACATTGTTCTTTTAGTTTGCTCGTGATCCCCATGGAAGCTTAATATTACTCCTTATCTCCTACGAGCTCCGTCTTAGCTAGGGTCAGTACTCAGCACGGGTCTTCTGTGTTGGGTAACGTTGCATCAAGGAAAGTTACATATTCTTCATTTTATGTTGAGGGAACTGAGTTAGGATAGGGTAAATAACTTGTCTCAGGTTATTCTTTTTCTAAGTGGCAGAACTGGAGTACAATTTTAAGGTTGTTGTAGACCAGCATTGCTCTCTGGTCAGAGGACAGTGACTCTCCACATACCGTGTAGGTGAATGGCACTAGTGCTGGGAGCCAGAGACATGTAAGCCCGTTGTTTTTTTGTTCACTCTGATGAAAGATAATTTGGCCATTATCCTATTAGCAAATCTGTATGTACTTCTGTTTTCAGTTTAATTCATGTTATTGAGTGCTAGTTGTGTGCTAAGGAGTGAAAAGATAAATGAGGAAAATTCTCCACAGAACTTATGGTGGAGAAGAACAGACCCAGAAGGACCTGCCAAGCAGCTGGGTCCGGGTGAGAATAGAGGTGTAGGCATGGGACTTCTGAGGGGAGGGAGGGACTCCCCAGGGCACCAGTATTGCGCTGAGTGCAGCAGCCTTAGTGTGGGGTGGAGGAGGAGGTAAGTGATAGCATGAACAATGCCTGTCGCCCTTGAGGAATGAAAGTGTGGTTAGCGTGTAGTAGGATTGCCAGGAGAGTTTTGACTACAGGGTCAAAGCCTTTATCACATCTATGAACTTGGCTTCTGCCACAGGTGACAGGAGATGCTCCAGCATTCCTCAAGATTGAGGTAGTGTGATCATGTAATGTATCATCCAAACTGAGATGCTTTTG